TTATATATCTTTAACAGAGTCCAACAATTTACTGAGCCTAAGAACCAAATATAGCAACTGAAATGTGGGTGATAAGTTAAAATATAATAATAAGTAAATTTGGATTTCTCTACGAGGGCATCAAAAGAATAATATGGAAATTCTAGGACATTATACAAAGAAAAGTGGGAAAAGGGAGATGTTTCATTAAAATACAATTAACTTGGCTATGATTATAAACATATTAATACGTTTTCCACACAAACTTAATTGGTAATATTAGTATTATAATAATTAATATATGTGAGTAATTGATAAATATTAGTGTTATTATTAGTAGTATGTATGATTTATTGTCAAATACCTCATGTCTCAAAATTTTCTAATGTAATTTTGTTTTAATATTATTTTCTTTCATACAAGTGTTAGTGTATTTATTTTTATGATAATAATAATTATTGATAATATTTTGTTGTATCGATAGATAAACAAAGAAATGAGACAATGATTGAGTGTTTTAGAGAAAAAATTGGTGAAGGACAGTTGTCTACTTGTTGCAAAGATGATGAATTTATTCGAAAGGGGTTTGAAATGGTTGCTAATGCACTTACTGTCAGAAATGCTATTTATGAAAAGCTCAACACTCGTGTTGATCGAATTTTAGAAAATAAAATATGGAAGCTATTGGAGGAGATAGGAATTGACTTACAATGAATCACTACTGCTTACTTATATTTTATTGATAATCCTAAGAAAATAAAAGAGTAATACTTGGATGCCCATGGGATAAAAGAAAGGAGTTCGTTGAAAGGTTGGTGTTTGGTTCATCTAATCATTAAAGATGTCAAAAATGTTTTTACTACATAAGTTTTTAATTCGTTGAAAAAGGTTTAATTTTGTTAGGATAGAAATATTTTCTTTTTATTTTGGTAAATAAATTTATGTTGGACAACTATATAGTGATATGTTATTACTTTTTGTTTTGCAAAAAGGACAAATAATTCGCTAGTATGTAATATTTTTTTGTGATTGCATTTTTTTTTATATATAATTGCTTTTACATGAATACATCATTAAAGTGATAGTGTGCTAAAATTTTGGCAATAGCAAAAAAACTCATCAATGCATGTTTGTAAAACATATTCTTATTTCACTTGATTAAAAACCACTGATATAACAACAATTATGAGGTTAGACAAGATGGCAAACATATTATGGTCCAAAAATGCTCTAAAATCACAAGCAATTAAATATTATAATTGAAAAAAATTATTACAATGAATAATTTCCTTTCTTTTTCACTATTTATCCAAATAATGGTTGTTAGAGATCTTTTTCTTTCCTTTCCTTTATTAATTTTAATTATCGAAACAAAGGATAAAGGAAAAAGTCACAAACTATAGAAAAATATATATGGTTCCAATAAGTTAAATGATTTATTTTTTAGATAATGTAAATAAATAAAATTAATTAGTGTACCGTATGAATCATAAACTAGTTTACATGTATTTTTATTTTTTATACATCTATACAACACTATATAAAAAGTATCCCATAATGTGTTATATGTTGACAGCTATTTTTTTTTTTGGGGGGCTTTATGGGTTGTAAATATGTGGGTTATTGAGCTTAAATGTTTTTTATTATTACTCTTTAGAATCAATCTTAATGAATTGAGTTTATAACTCTATGTTTCAGTTTATTTCTACTTGTGGAAAAATAAACAATTCTGTCAATGATAAAAAATGCTCATATGTTTTAAGAATATGTGGATAGGATTATTACTTTTTTCTAGTCAGAATCCTAAATTTACTTAACTATAAATTTATTATCAAATATCTTATTATTCAACTGTCAATTACAAAAAAACATATTAAACTCGCAGCGAAAGCACGAGTACCCTATTAGTACTTATAAAAACAAACTCAACCTTTAAATACCTTATATAAAACTATAGTGGCCAGTAAACCTTGTAAGGTTTAACTTATTAAAGTGAGATCCACTTGCACTTAATCCTTACACTTGTTAAGTAAGTCCACCTGCAATCTGCAAGCACCCATGATCAAGAAGTTAGTTTTTTTGAAAAGATGCAATAATAATCAAAGTTAAAAAGGGAAGCCTGGAACATTAAGACAACAAAGCCAACATTGTAATTCCTTCCAAGTAATTTAAAACTTGTCATTTCCTTCCAAGTAATAATTTCTTCACCTAGTACCAATTAACAAAAATTTGTAGTAGACCCCTCTATTTGTCATTCTCCCAAAATATGAAGCTGAGAAGAAAGGCTTGCGAAGAAAGGGATTTGAAGATATTCATGGCATAATATTTAGCCACAGGTCATGAGGTAAGGAGTTTGAGGAAAGTTGGAAAGTCATGACGGAAGACTTCGCCTATAAAGTTTGCTGGTGATGATTATGGCAACAGCTAGCCTACTTAAGTATATGGATACAAAATGTAAAAGATGTAAGCAAATAAATCAGATTAAATTTGATATCCATCCAATCTTCAATCATTTCCCACTTAATTAGTGTAGCTTGAACCAATATTTGTTATATTTTCTTTGCAGACTGTAATAATCCACAAGATTCAGTCTAGAGAAACAAGAGCTGTAGCACTATACTCTAGCTTATGTCAGCAGTCCAAAAATACACACAATATTGAATGATTAAATTAACTTAGATTTTAGGGAGGCTTCCTTCTTCAGGCTTTGAAAATAGTAATTTCATAATCCTTCAAAAGGATGACACCAAATCAGATAATCAAAAGGACAAATCAAACATCAGCCAAGTGGCAAAGAAGTATTATCCTTAATAATATTCAAAAAGTTTGTCTGCCAAGTGGACTAGCAAATAGTGCCCTTCAATTAGGCTTCAACCCTCAATATTCCATCTGTTTTATTAGTCTAATTTTTTGTATATCTAATAGTACTTTATATGACGTGGGTGTTTTGTTTTAGCTGTCACTAATATTAGAGAAGATGAATCTAGGTTGCCTTTTTGCCTTATAATAGGTGTTCTCAGTTCCTTATATAAGGAGTTCTTAAAGAGGACACGGGCCTTGGTTTCGAACCAAAACCCCCTCCCCTTCTTCCATGGGCTATAACGATCATATATACATATATATATATATATATATAAACTAATATAGCTAACCTCCCCAATGCCTTGTCTTTCAATAAAAACACTTTTTTTTAATTAGAATGAATTATCTAGATATTATTTAAGCATAGGGAAATGCTTGCTTCATGATAGAAAAGAGAGAAAGAGAAAAATGATTTTAATAGATTTCATATTTATATATGAAACAACATAGAGATCATTACATTACAAAAACTACTAGTATAGGCATTGGCTTATACCATCACATATATATATATATATATATAATTATCAACTAAGCCATTGAAATATCAAAGTGGTAATACTTTACAAAAACAAAAACCATAATACCACATCATGCAGACAATTTGTTGATTGCAAAAGGACCCTATCCTTCATCCAGTTCTATAGTACTTTCTGTAAAAGAAAAAAATGTATACATTAGCATCAAGCCAAAAAAGAAAAATTGTGATAAAAAATGTCCAAAGAAAAAGCAGGTAGCAAAAATAGAAAGAAGCATATATATTAATCAGAAAGATGAATAGATAAGAAATATGAATCAGAAATCCTAAAGCACTAACTTAGTTACACACATAATTCAAAGTACATAACAAGTTGATTACTGGTTGGGTATATATTACATATAATAGCATCACTTTTGCTACCATCATTTTCTTTTTGGTACTAATATTCCTTCCCAATTACCTCTGCTTCCTAGTAACTGATCATCCAGTCACTACCATTCCAAACTGTCCCCTAAAAGAGCAATTTGAAGAGTACCCACTTACCTTGTTTTCAAACCAAAGCAAAAATACAGAGAGGGTACAGCCCAAAGTACAAAAAACAACATAAAATTAATCAGTACTAGTAAGTAATTACCATTCCTATACAAATAAAGTTACCAACAAGAAAAAAGAGAATAATATAACATGTTTATACTGATCATTTTCACCATATATTTGATTCATTTTTCAATCAAGATAATTAAACTTCTTTGTCACTCACTTGCAATAGTGGCATCACGGCAAGTGTAGCTGGTGGTGGAGCCAGTGATTTTGCTGATGGTGCTACCTTCTGCTTAGACTTCTTTCTTTTCTTCTCATAGCTAACCCCTCTAGCTTTGGCCTGTGAATCCCTAACTTCCCTTAAGTAAATCCTGACAGCTGGAGCTGCAAAAGGATTCACTTCTGGCCTACCTCCATGTTCCTTGTAAGCAGCCTGGAGTCGATCAATGAGTGCATTAAGGCTACCCCAGAATTGTCCAAGAGGGCAATAGCAAGGAGCGGGAGGGTTAGGGAGGCCAAAGAAAGGGCAAATCCTGATATGAACTTTGGTCTCGCCAAATTGATCGAGGTACCTAAGAAACTCAAGGACATGATCACCACCACACATTGAAAGAGACAGTGGAGGCCTATGGTTTCTCAGGTATTGGCAAAAAGTGTTCCAATCTCTTCTTTTCTGGCTCTCATAGTCGCTTGGAGTGGTCGATGGAGATGGAGTTGTAGTGCTACGTTTTGGACCTTGGAAACAATCATTTATTTTAGGCATTACACTACTTACGAAAGTGCTATAAACAAACTTCAATCTCCAAAAAGTAAGTAGAGAGAAAACATATCTGAATCAATGTTGAGAAAGAAGGAAAATCACCGGAGAGAAAGAAAAGACGAAGGCACAACACTAAGATTAGCAATCAAGAAACAAGAAAAAGCAAAGGTACCAACTATTTAGCGAGACAATTGTAGTGTACAGACTCCACTGGTGCTAACGGCAGGCATACATACATGCATAGGATGTTGTTTTATAATTTAGTCAGCAATACTTCCTAAAATGTGTAGCATAAACTTTCTAAAATGGCGGAATATGCATCGGCTGATTTTCTGCTTTTGACTAAATGAGAGTACCTTTGGATAAAACTAGGAAATGCTAATAAAACATCCTCTCAAAGGCTTGAATTGAACGATTACCTGATTGTTGGGATTCATCTCGAATCGAAGCTTCGGGAATACCTTCATATTCTACCAATTTCAAATGCATCAGTAGAAGCACACTGGCTTTCCAAATAAACAACAAAATAAGGATAAATAAATCTAGCAAGTGTCAATATGTGGATTGGATTATCGAGGCCCTACACAAATTCAAGTGCATGCAATCCTTTTGGTTTGTTATTTAATATTAACCCTCAACTTGTAATATGACATGCGAGATTCATATTTCAAGAAATGTTCATCATTCAGATATAGCTGTGTTTCTCTATCTGCATCTAGACTTATTTGACAGCAAAAAACAAAAAATTAGAAACCTTAAAGTTCAGAGGAATTAGTTACCTGGTTGTGCAACCATATCTTGTATTGATGCTTCAAATACATCTTCATATCCTGCCAATTTCAAATGCGCCGGACATTACTAACAGTTTTTCTCAAACAACCGTTTTTTTAGGCATTGAATATGTAATGTTTCTGATATAATTTCGAGCGCAACCAGATGAGAGAAACAGAACAGTTGAGCACATTCCTCCACCACTATCTTCTTTATGATACAATTTACGATATTTTATTCTTTTTTCAGATTTACATTTAATTTCTCCCTAAGCATTTATATGCACACACTAGCAAGAAATGAAGTATCAGGTCGCAAAAATTGTAAACTCCATGATTTAGGATATGCCTGTGAAATTTTCCGATTTAGGTATTAACCATCAACTTATAATTACAAAACAGAAAGGATAAAATCATCCCTAGTAATGTAGGATTCGAGGTTCAATGAACATCATTGATCTCTAATATGCATCAAAATTGATTATATGATGATCAAGGAAGGATACTGCCTCCCCACCTTTTGTAGGGCTGATAGTCTTAGCTAAATCAGCAGCGTCTTCCACGTAATTGGGCATATGATCATTACAAAGTGGAGTGTGCAAATTATACACTCCCATGTTATAACAGCCATGGACATGTACCCCTTCATAGGTGGTGATCAAAAATCTTGTATCTTGGTAGTCTCGCTGAACCCATTTCTTCCCTGAACAACCCTTTGTCAAACATTTGTAGTAGAACCTATACAGAGTGGATAAAGGCACGGAAAAAGTAATAATTAAATCAACAAAACTGTTTAGCAACTTCAGAACTTCCTTAACAATATTAGGTGAAGTAATCACCTTGGATGGGGACTTCCCTTCCCAAATGCCATTCCATATTTCCTCGATCTATAACCATTATCAAGTACCTCTTTGGTTCGAACTGCAACTCTATGCCCTCTCGTGGTTTTGCTCACAGAACCTATGACACCCTTGTTTTCATTCTCAGTACAGTTGCTGCAACATGTTAAACCACTCCATTAAAATTCTCCTTCATAAAACCTTGCCCATAAGCTTAATTATATTTGACCAACCACTTGCATAATAGACTTCCATAAGTTCAATTTCATCCTAGGTGTGAGGACTGAAAGACATTTAAAGGCGTTTTACATTGGAGGAACGTGGACTACAAACAGAGCAAAGTAACCCTTCTGGTTAAGGAAGTGAAGGGCACTACTGTTGGATAAAAATGTTTAAATAGTAATAGGTATAAGTAACACTAGAGAACAGCAATGTCTACTTCACAGAGTACATCAATAGAAATGCTTAACTGACCTTCTTTTGGCCTTAAGTTCATCTTCATCAACGTCTACTTCACAAATTTCTGAAGCCTGATCAAAGTAACCATCTTCTAGCCTCTTGTTCTTCTCTGATGAAAAAAAGTTCAATGCTTGTTTTGGTGCCTGCAATTAGAACAAATTAAGTGTAATGATAATGGAAAATCAAGGCTGACAAATAAGATTTAACTCAAATTAATAAAATCAAATTACATACACTTCAAATTATGGTTGTTGAAGGTTAAGATATCCTTGAGGATAACTATAAATTATAATCAAGCTCGTCACTATAAGGATTGTTTATAAAATCAGAGAATTTTGCTATAATTTATTTTTTAGAGTTGTAATTAGATATAACTACCTGTGCGTAATTAAAACCATGGATAAAAAATTGTATCAATCCAGAAACTCCAATTGCCATCATAGCAAACAAAACATCACTATTAACATCCCCATTCTGATTCCTCTATTTTTGTTAAATTTAGTCCTCTGCTTCAATTGCAAGTATTTACTTATATAAAATGTTGATTACAGTTAAATCCTTAACACTATTAAGGAAAGGCCTTAACTTGTTGATTTGGTCGATTTGACGCTGACATGCCATGCTATCTTGAAAAATTTTTTGCCCCACAACACACAAAAAATGGCACAAAAAAGAATTTAAGTTCCAGAGTCATGAAGCAATTGAATTAAGTCTTGGGTTCAAAAATTTTTAATAGCATAAAATATATGTAAAATTTAAAAAAATGCAATAAAAAAAGAAAGACAGAGGAAGGAAAGAGAGAAATTGAGAAGGGGAAGGGAATGCGGCGCCAATCCGCCTTTTGTCGGCCAGATTGGCCTCAATATGAGAGATCAAATCTAGACTTTGGACCAAAATATAACAAAATTCTGGCCGCTTGGCTATGATACTTGCATGGGTATGTATATCCAACATTTACACAGTTTTTCTGTTTAAAAGAAAGAGGTAATCTACATTTAAAAAAAAAAAAAAGTCATTAAGACCCAAGTATTCAAAAAATTTACAATGGGACAAACAAAAACAATCAAAATAGTTCAATTGCTAAATTAAGTTGAATATTTTGAATAAGTTGTACACAAACAATATTTAGGGTTTCATTTCTTAACTGGCCAAGCAAATTGTCAAGTTAAGGCTTCTAATTTCGTGGTTTAAGGAGACCCATCATTTCCGGTCAGAATAACGGACCGTCAAGTTAGTAAAACTGAAAACCCAAACAAAACAAAAGATTGTATGATAAAACTATGAATGTTGTGTTTGGTTGCTCAGTATATTGATATATACTTACATCCAATGTCCTCGAAGGATTGGATGGAAGTATGCATGCCGAAGAAGTCTTTGCCACGTCTGTCCCCATCAATGGATTGAGTAGAAGCATGCATGACGAAGGAAACTTTGTCACATCTGTCCCCGTTATTTTCTCCTCCTTATAATCTAACAGTAATAAACCGTAATTACATAAAAGAGTTAGACACCAAAAATTAGAAGAGTCGTCTCATAAGGGTTGCAAAGAAGAATTACCTGAGCACTGGCCTTTATGATCTTGTGTTGAAACTTCGAGCAACTTTTCATCATCTACCAATTTTCAAAATATGCAATGTTAAAATCTTCGCTTCTCATCAGATGTTACCAAACATTTTTTTTACGTTGTGACTTGGCTTTGGTCTCTTCCAATTAGATTTTTTTAGGATAATAAAATTTTACTCATGTTATCAAGAAAAAAAAATGTTCAGGACTCATGTTATCCAGACAAAAAAAAAAAAAAGGTTCACATAAGCTAATAAATTAGATGATTAATAAAAAATAAAAAAAAAAGCTCAAAAGATATATTACCTTTTTGTTGGCCTTCATTATCTATGGTAGCTTCAAACAGATCCCTGTCTTCTGTCAATTGGGTCATAACATCTTTCTCATTGCTGATAGGGGAAAAGATATGCATCAGATAATCTAGCCGATTTCCCCACTCTGTTTCATTCCAATTCAAATCTTCCCACCACTGACATTCTCCTTTGATTATCTTCAAAGTTTTGCTTGACAATTCCATTTTTGATAACATTTTAAGCTTCGGGCAATTATAAAATCCTATGCTTTCTAATTTTGGTGCTATTAATAGACATTAGAAATGCTGACCAGTCCAGGAAGGTAAAGAAGCAGCAATCTTTTCAAACTAGGGAGAAATTTATTTCACATCTTTGGCTTGACAGATGCATGGCTTACCAGACCGGTGACTTGGGGGCAGTCCTCAACAATAATCTCCTCCAAGTTGACAAAATTTTCAATCAAAGTATGAGAGAAAATATGTCTCAGTTGGGGGCATGCATGCAGCGCGAGGAATTTCAACCTGGACATACATCCACAACGATTTGGTCCTCTCCAAATACTCCATAAATTCTTCATGTAATAACTGCTCAAATATTCTAGAGATTCAAGCACATGCTCTGCAGAACCAGCGTCAGATTCAGATTGATCATCTTCATTTCTTTCGTCATGCATCTCTCCATCAATAAGGGTTTCCATCTTATTACACTCTGCCAACAAGCAAAATTTTAGCCTTTTCATATTCTCGATCCCAAATTCAGATAGATTCATAGCGGTTGCATGGTTGTCCAAGAAAAATGAAGAAGAATATTTGAGTACCGCTTCATTTCGATTGGAATGTTTCCACCATTCACAAACTTCAAGCATTTATCCCAATTTCTGAATTCTGCTTCAACTTCATGAGGTACACGAGATATGATTCTCCTTTTATGATGGCCAACCGTAAAACTAAAGTGTGACAACGAAGGATATATCAATGATAAATTATCTAAAAGTTGGAATTTAGGCAGGTACAAGCTAAGAGTCTTCAATGTTTTTGAGTTGCATACTTCCTTCACAACGGCTTCCACAGAATCATCCCACCTCTTGTCTGCCGGATTCACATCAATGCTTAATTCAGCAAGTTGCGAGAGAATTGATATTGTCTCAGGGTGAATCACAAAGTTTGATTTCGAATTCTTTTTGCCACAGATATGATAAAATGATACTCTCAAATGACTTGACTAGCTTTCCAATATCACTTGGCAGATGTATGATCTGAGTTTCATCAAGATCAAGCTCCTCGAGATTTTTGGGTTTCCCAACCTGAGGTGATAGTTCCATGAAGAGTTCACAACCTCTTAGCAAGAGCTTTTTTAACGAAACCAACTTGGGAAGAGATTTTGGCAAAGATTTGATGCTAGTATGGGACAAATCTAATACTTGGAGAAGGGCCATGCGCTGAAAGAATAGGGGAGGAATAGCTGTCAGCTCATAATTCCCTTTCAAATACAAATGCAATCAATGAAGAGCAGCTTGGAGATTTTGGTAGCTCAGAGACTTTATGTTTATCATCCGTTAAATGGATCTCTGTGGCTGCCCATTCTTCTTCCTTTCGCAGCTTGGGCAATCCTGACCCACTTGCCTTAGGAACAGACTGCTGCATTTTGGCTGAAGAATTATGTATGCTCTCAGTCAATTCCAAAGGATCTTGCCTTACAAAATACTCTGTTCGTAAAGCATCAATTACAATTTGAAGAGTAGAATATAATCTCCTTCATTATGTATATAGACCAAATAATCTTTGTGCATTTGAGAAATAAAAGTTAAATTTAATTATCACTACTCCTATAAAAGATATATAATCTCCATATATTTTTTTTTCTGTGATATTCATAGAAAAATATTTTTGCAGTTTAATATTTCAAACAAATAAATTGACCTCAGAGCTATAAAATGGTATGGTATATTGTTCTCTCTTCCACTCCTATCACCATCATTTCTTATCAGAATTACAACAAGCTAAGTATAAACATATGCATTTGCACTATAAACCAGATTTTGGAATAAACTCCAAAACTACTATGGGTATGACTTGAGAAATTAAAGAACATTTCTTGCATTTTTTTTCTATAGCCTAAACCATTTAAACATTTCCTTTTCCCACAAAACAAACAAAAACCAACAATCAACAAATCCCACGTTGAGAAAGCTCTAATAATTATTATTTACCCATTTAAATACAATTCCAACTATTAAATTAACAGTGTTATTCCAAATCTATTAAGTTTAGAATTTAAAAAGTTATTTTGAAATTCAAATCTTTAAAATTATAATATTCAAGTTCTATGTTTATATTTATATGGTAATGTATAAAATAAATTACATCATCAGTCATTTAATTAATTAAGCTTGTTAAACTTTCTATTTTGACCCATAATCTTATTATTATTATGTTAGTTAGATATATAATTTTTTCGTTGCAGATACTACATGGGCCCTATCCGTGCAACATCTTGAAGTATTCTTTTAAACAGTCTATCTAAGGTAGAGGAGGATAAAATAACTTACCAACATTAAATTCACTATCGTGAGCATAATTTGTTAAAAAAATCTTCATAAAAATTGTTGTCTTTATAAATGTAAACAAGAGAAAAATTCCAACCCTTGAAAAATATAAGTTGATTAGCATGATTAACCTAATAGAGAAGATCATTGTCATGCAGTAGTTGTGGAATTAGATTTATAATCTATTATCATCTTCTCTAACAGGGCGCTTGTCATGGAAGCATTTTTTCCCACTTAAAGCACGGACATAAATGAATAGATTTACTAATTTTAAATATGATATAATAATATAATATAAAAATAATATGAAAAAAAAAAAACAAAAGTAATATGTTTTAAAATTTTAATAAAAATTAAAACTGTATGAATTTAATAAAATCAAAAAATATATTTTATATTTGATAGATCGATATTAATTTAACATGATAATTTTTATATTTTAACACATATTTAATATGATATAAATACGATACATATAAAACCTAACACAAATCAAAAGAAGAGCTTATCAAACATTTAAATGCTCGCATATAAAGTTATAAACCGATCAATAAGCAAAGAGACGAAGAAATTAAAGAAAAATTAATAGACACTCCTGCAAGTAAATTGTTTGACAAGAATAGAAGCCCATAAATCGATTAAATGCTTGCATATAAAGCGATTGCTAGCTGAATGTTTTTGAACGGTAATCTAGTCCTAATAAAAGTAAACGCATCCGATTCTTACCTCCAAACTCTAAAACTGGGTTATGTGAATATAATCCAATAATTGAAGGGGACCCTTTCGTCCCAATAATAATTTGACTTTTAGAAAGTGTTAATTCACTCATTTTCCATCTTCCTTCCTTGGAATCCCTTAGGTTAGGTACCTAAAATGTAGAGGTAAGAAAAAAAATTCGAGAAAATTGAAAATAGATTTGAATTTTTTTTATTCAATTTGGTTTAAGTTTAAATATTGAATGTTTTAATTCAATTCAATTCATGTTTAAATAAAAAGTAAAAAAAAAAATTATCAAATTAATATTTTTATTAATTGTCATATATTTTAAATTTTTTATAAAATAAAATATTTATTTTATAATTACATTTATTTCAATATATTTAAATTAGTATGAAAATAATAACAAAAAGTTATCGATTCGTATCAATTCAATTTTTTAGAGAGATCGACTTGGATTTGGATCAGGTTTTAAAAATTTATAATATTATGCATTAATCAAAATAGCTGAATTTAATATGGATCAATCCAATCCATTAGCATCCATAGCTAAAAGAAGCTTTTTCTTAAAAAAATTAAAATTAAAATTGATAATTTATATATTTATATTTGTAGACACATTATTTTGTCTAAGATTTTTTTGAGATGAAAACAAGCTTCGGTCAAATATTAGGCCCGATTGAGAAGCTTTGGGCCCAATAAAAAAATTTTAATTTTTTTTTTTTTATTATTATTATTATTATTATTATTATTATTATTTCTGTTTTAGAAAGTTAAAAAAAGTCAAAAGTAAAAAAAATAAAAAAATGGAAACGAAATCAGAAAACTTTTCTAGAAATCATGTATGCGTGGAATTGGAAACAAAATTAGCCTTAATCAAATGAAATCAAAATCCCTAAATCAAAGAAAGTTAAGATCGAATCTGTTGGTGACAGATCAAATGTCAACCATTCAATGCAAATCTCTAAAATTACTGTCAAAAGTTCTATAAATCACATTCCAAGACACATGCAATCGAAGGGGGGATAGAAACTCTGGAGGAAAGGTTTTACAAAAAAATAAAAGTTGCTTAGGTAACCGAGGTTCTGGTTGGGTGATTTTTGGGTTGGATTCGTTTTTTAGGGTTTCTGGAATCAAGATTGATTTTTTTAGGATTTTTTAAAATGGAGAGAATACAGGGAAGAAACATGCAAAAAGGATAAAGGATTCTTTACATTTTGTTTTTTGGGAATTCAATTTGGTTTCTGGGTTTTCATTTTTTGTTATGTTTTTTTTCTAGGGTTTGGCTCTTTAGGAATTTTTGGACGGAGGTTCAAGCTTAAGTATAAGTTGATTTCTGGGTTGTTTGGGTGTTCTTATGGGCTTTATTTCCTCTGTTTGTAGTTTTTGATATTTCTAGGGTTTATTAGGCTTTTTTTGGGATTTTATGTTTAAAATTGAATTTTTCGACCAACATCACGACAACCAAAGGATGACTAAGGTGGCCAAATTCTGGGTTCATCACTATTTCTGAAAAACTTTGAAGATTCTAGCAGCCAATTGAATTTTTTGGTGCCGAAATCCGAAAATTTTGGCCAATATTCTTAGTCGGATGAATTTTTTGTTGAATATCTAGAGATAAGCTAAAGAAAACTCTAGCTAGAGAGAGAGAGCACCAGAGCCATTTGTAAAAGTTAATTCTTTTTTTTTTTTACTTTTATAGTAGATCCAAACGATGCCATTTTAGCCAACCTTTTGACTTGGTGTTAATTCGACTGACCTGCGTGCCTACTTACTCTTGACCCAACCTGCAGTGCAAGTTTTCATTTTTCATATTTCATTTTATTTTTTATTTTATTTGATTTTTCTTTTGTTTTGTTTTTTCATCTTTTCATCTTTTTATTTTATTTATTTTTTATGTTTTATTTTTGCTTATTATTCTAATTAAGTGGTTAAATTCAAAAATGAAAAAAATAAAAAATCTAAAAATTTTATTTGGAATTTATTTTTGCATGAATTTAATTACATAATTATTAATATTTGTTTGCATCATTGGTATAGGATTAATATATTTATTTGTGTATTTGTTTATGTGATCGCATGATTCTTTAATTGCATGATATGTTATATTATTGCATGATGATTTTTCGTTTATTTTAATTGATTTTTCGATTCTACCAAACTATTGGAGGATTTGTATCTTAAATTAAATCTTACCAAACTATTGGAAGATTTAATGCATTTTCTAAAAATAATTTTACAATAAAATATCACCAAACTATTGGGAGATCTATATCAAAATAAATCTTACTAAACTATTAAAAGATTTTACTAATTATTTCTTTAAATGAAATTTAAATGAATCCGACAATAGAGCCTCCTCAGAGTAAGATACTAGTTTCCATAACTACTCCTAAGGTAAAAGAATTATCTTAAATTACTATCAAACTATTGGAGAAATTTTAAGATCAATTTTCAATATCAAATATTTTTGGTAAATCATAAATATGGTTAAAGCTTGAATAATTTCAAATCAAACTGATACCTTCCTTTGAATGGGAGCTATGAGGGTACTATAACATTTTTTATGATAATTGT